GATCATTCATTTACTCGCGTCGATAGTTTCTCGGTTCTTTTTACAAATATTTGAGCGTCATGTCATGATAGCGCTGGAAAATAAGTCACACGACACGAGAAAGATTTTCTACGGAAGTTACACAGAAGTATATATCTCGTAAACAAGATATATTGCGTCTCGAGCACAATTGTGATTCCAATCGCGAGGCCAGCTGTGCTCCAAATCCGGAAGATTTCATAAATCACCCACGCATGACCTATTGACACCATTTCAAGACTCGGGGGGGTGTTTTCGAGGTAGCACGCGATGCCGGATGCTGTCCCCACTGCGCCGCCTGTGTTATGCATTATATAGAGTATACAAACTATTTCGAGCTTCATCGACAAATCGAGCATGTAGCATTGCGTTTACCGCTGATTTATGGCCAATTTCTCCGAACGTAGCGCGAACATCAGCTAAACCCAATTGCGCATTACGAACGTCGCATATGATCCATTTAATTGCACGACGAATTTGGATGCGCACTGAGTTTCCAAACAGTTTGAACACTTTGCATTTGGATGCAATTCGGAACGCAGCAAGTGTTTAATGTTCCAGTACTGAGAGAGCTTAATTTCTGAGAACTTTTCAGGAACGTTGGATACACAGAGAGAACGATTTAAATTGAATCTAACAAATGCTTATTTGGGATAGTCCAAATAAATTTTTTGACTGATCGGACAAAGTTTTGTTTGACGCAACAAAAACATTTCGTTGCGAACTAAGCTGCAACAAAATACTTTTTAAATACTAAGCATTTATTAGTTGTTCAATTAAATCGTTCTCTCTGTGTAGGAAGATATTCAAACTGTTTTGAAACCTGGCTTATATTCCGTTTCAGGCAAAAACTCGCATTTATTTGTGCAGACGCACACGACGTGGCTGCAGATAAATGCATGAAACGGAATGAATTGAAGACAGTCTATATAGTGTGGTGCGCGCTACTGCAACCGACTGAAATCGCTGTACGAAGTATCGAATCCAGCCACTTTCAAGTGACTACGTGACAGCAGAAAACGTTCGTTCACTACAATTTGTTTTCAGCTCGAGCGCGTCGTATCGGCAGACACCAGTCATTCAAAATCCCGAGGAACGGCAGCAACACACCTAGACCTAGACTTTCATCGACGACTTCTCGCAGCCTACGCTGCCGTCGAAGACACAGAGAGAGAGAGAGAGAGAGAGAGAGAGAGAGAGAGAGAGAGAGAGAAAGAGAGAGAGAGAGACACACACGTTTTCTGGCCCGTAGATGTTTCCCGATCTGTAAGTTCGTTTTATTCAATCTTTTGCGGTCGGCGAGATACGGTGGTATGTAACATAGACACGAAAAATTTCACTTTTTCCTTCCCTGGAGCGTAAAATCCGTTTCAACCTACAACTCGCTGACGTACATGAGTATCTGTAACTCGATCCGAAATTCGTGACAAAATTTCGTGCATGATCTGATACGTTGGATATATCAGTTATGCTATTTATAATAATATAATAAAATATAATAAACGTTTCCTCAGCGAAAATGTCGAAGCAACGATAGGTATGCGGAATTATTTCTCATACAAATGATAATCTACCTCGACATTCTCGCGAGGGAAAGATCAGATCAGAAGAAGAAATTAGGAAATTCGCCGTTAAGCTCGCGAAGTCCTTCAACGCGCTTTGTAGACCATTTAAATCAGATAGCGGTAAAGGCTCTCAGATATTCAATCTCATAAATAACCGGGTTTGTCCTCTTTATTATTCTTTTCACGATTCCTCCTCCGTCGTTTTTTTACATTTCTTTAGTCCCATCTGTTAAACAGAATCCATCCATTAAACAAGATCTCATCTATTAAACAAGATCCAAGCAAAGGATCGAAACGTTTGGTTTATTCCGCGCGGCGCCGCTCTTTTACCTACCTACATACATTTATTAAATCACACACACACGCACACATGCCCGCGCCTCGGAAGCTCATAGTCGTTTAAATTAGACTTGCTAAGACAACTTGGAGGGCATGTCACAGATATTGGAATTCCCGAAACAGACGAGCCATCGCTGATGACCTTCACCCGACGTCGTCGAAACGTCCGCATGTCGCAGCCGCAGGGTTGAACCCCGGCGTCACGGCGCAGGCGCCAGTCGAAGACGAAGCGTACTACCTACAGCGACTACTCCTGGTGAGTGTTATGCGGCCGCGGGACTAAAATGTGTGCAAGTTCCGCGCTGCGTTTCCTCCTCTCTCGGCTGTCTTCCCCGAGGGTCCGCAGCGTAACACGCTACTCAGCAGCTCCAGGCAGTCGTGATCGACCGCAGTATCTCGCTATGCAGGTAGAGCCCGTGCTCGTTCGGTCGCAACCTTGATCGCAACCACTTCTCGACCCTCGGATAGATCTCAACTCCCGTTCAGTCGCACCGCTGGGGAAGCTCCGGAGAGGATCGAAACGTTTGACGTTCTTCGTCAGATAATCGTCGACGTGCATTTCCGCGCGTTCGCATCTGCCTCGGTCTTCCTTCCCCGAGTCGCGATTTTGCATCGAAGAGTCTTTCTCGTCCGTTCTCGATCCGACGTTTGTACCACGTGTACGTGTCATCGTAATTTAAAGAGTCGCAGCGAGGAGAAGATTCGAACTCGCGGATTAACTCCGTATAATCCACCGTGGATTAATTCGGAATTAATTCGGTGTCGTCCGAGAGGTACAACACCATGCGATTCGGCAGCTGTGGTCCTGTTTCTGCGGCTGTGCTGTGACCTATTGACGCGAGTCAGTCCATTCCTGTCATTCAGGTCAGACATGGCGTCTGCGTGCGCGACAATCGAACTTGCACTCGTGCTATCGACGTTCTGTCGACCGCGAAAAAAGATTTATTTTTTTTTTCGCAGTCACGCGAGCTTCTTTCTTTCTTTCTGTCAAGAGATGACAGCGGCACAAAGCATATCTCTCTGTCAGCATTAAATATGTCGCATCCTCGGCAGAATATTTCACCCCAACGTTTGCTATAAATTGCTATAATTTCACGCGGTAACGAGCTTGTTGGTTCGTTTGAAAATCTGGAGAAGAAGAGACAATTCTTCCTTCTCTTTCGCTTCTTTAATTTCGCTCGTTGTTAGCGAAATAATTATCACGAACACTCGCGCCACAATCTGGCGTCGGTATGCCGAGAGATACGTTAATTAGACTGATGTTTCTCCCCGCTGCAAAATATTATTCTCCGTTATCGTGTCAGAGAACGCGTGAAGCATACAGCTTAACGGAAATTATTTGTTGCAGCAGACCTGCAGGGAATTATGGACGATTCTGGAGGGTGTGATAGCGACGACAACGGCGAACTACTTCTCCCGTGACCGATCAAAATATATTTCGTTCGGTGTAATAAGCCAGGTAAGCGTAACGAAGCACGCAAACATGAGGCTTTCCGATAGTTCCAGTTCTCAAACCGTGAATAAACGTGCTGTGAGCTTCGTGTTCAAAGGAAAAAAAAGTCATTTTCCTGCGCAATCGTGCTGAGATATTCCTGTGACCTCCAATAGACCCTTCTTAAATAGACCCTTCCTAAAATGTATGAAACGTCCGTGCAGAGAGACGCCTAATTAAAGTTCAACTTCTCGGACATTTTTGGAACATTCTTTCGAATTCTTCCGGCAAATTTTCGCTCACAGTTTCGTTTCGTGATACACACAATTGCACACGTTGCGCTTTGTATCTCTTTCTCTCTTACGAGTAATCAAATCGTATAAATGTTTATTTGTAACGTCGCGAGAAGTATCGTGCCAATTGTTTTCCGGCTAATCAATGTTCCGCCTACTTTCGCAAACATTCATGCGCTTCATGCGAGATAAATATTAACGACATACTTACATATGTGTATATCGATTGATTTGACTGTCGTTGGAGCGTGAATACCGAAAATTGATAAAACCACAGCTCCCGTCGAGCACTCGCGTGACGCTCACAGTGTGGTGCCATCTACGAGAGCCTTCTCGGTCAGCAGTCCGCAATCGTGTCACACGTTCGTGTGCTGCATGTATACCTTGTAGAACGATAAATGTGCGCTTATACATGCCGGTCGCGTGTAAATATCGTGCCATCGGTTTGTAATCCGTCGCGGAACTGACAATGTTTTGGCGTACGATTGAAAATCTTGTATGGAACGGCATTGAATGGCTGACGTTGAAGTGGAAACAGGTATGCGTGACTATCGGTGCGATATTTTGATGTAATACATGTCCGCGATGTAATACATGTCCATTAATTGAATGGGGTGACTTGACTGAGGGATTCGCTTTCCTTATTTCCACGCTGTCTCTGTCGCAGGGTGTACATGTGAGAAAATTTGTGTCGTTAATGTGAATTAATATATCGAGTTGATTCCTTTAGATAAGTTCCCAATTCATCAACTCGAGCTCCACTTCTTGCTCCTGAGTACGTTCGTAAAACTCCCTTTTTTGGGTGCTATCGAGCGTTCGTCGAAACTCTCGCCTAATCGCCACGCGTATCGCTTTATCGTTGCGGTTAACGTTATCTGAATATTTTTATGTATATAGTCGAGAGGAAAAGTATTATATAAACCTAAAGTAAGCAAAAACACGCCTTTAATATATGCTTTGATGAATATTCGATTTTCTCAATATCGTTTGATGCCTTACAAGAAACTTGAATAAACTCACCTCAGAGTTCTACA